CCAAGTCTCTTGAATTTCCCTCATTTATAGTCTTAATTCGCTGATTCCGCGTGGACGACAAGGGGGTAGATAGCTCCTCCCTTGTGTTCTAATTTCTTAAAGTTAGGCTTTCATTGGGTCTTATCGGGATGTGGGCAGACCCCCTGGCGTCTGATCGCTGCGTAAGCAATCTCTTCCGACTCTCCAGTGCCCGAGTTAGGCAAACTTCTGGCGCTGTGAGGACACAGCCTTGCTGGGCAAGCAGATTCCTAACCTACTTGCCATTACTGATGTTTACAAGTTGCGGCAATAACTGTGCAACACTGTTCGCTAGGCGCGAACATTTTTGGGCCGTGGCTTCTTCTACTATCTCGAATTTTGGGGCATAACAGAGCTCACAGGTAAATAATGCTGTACTACCACACAAACTTTATTTTTTCTGCCACTTTTCCCACTGTCCCACTACATTTTTCAGTCACAGCTGACCTGATGGTGACTGTGGTGGAAACATGCATTCGAACAATGGAGAAAATTTATGAGTAAGTTTGTGTGATGGAATAACATAGCTTACCTCTAAAGGGCCCTTTTCAAAGGGCTGAGTGAATGATGGAAAAACTGCCGTCACTGAACCAATAGGATGTAGAAAAAAGTCAAGAGAAACAAAAAGGAAACAGTGGCCCTTTACATGTCAATTTTTCAAGGGCAGGTGAATGGGAGAAGAGGTACGTACCAACAGGGACTAATTTGAAGAAAGCAGTCTTCTGGGATTTGGCACCGTGTATATGTGGTGTTAACCGACGTTTCGGAGGAACGTATCGCCTCCATCTTCAGGGTAGAAGAAAAAATATAAGAAATCCACAAGCGAAGAGACCGTGAGAACCGGTGCGTTCTTCCGAAACGTCGGTTAACACCACATATACACGGTGCCAAATCCAAGAAGACTGCTTTCTTCATAGTCACCGCCATGAAAGCCTAAAATCCTACATAGGGACTAATTTGTTGGGCAGTGTGAGGAAGAAAGTGAAGACGTGAAAGATAGAAAGTTTTAAATAATTAGATATAGGGCATATGAAGTAGAGGGAGGGAGACCATGTCCCTCAGAAGACATTGGTAAAAATGTAGCAGACTCTGTGTCCTCATATCCCTGTAAACACCATGAGATTTGCCATATTGTTTTGCATAACACAGGATGGAGGCAGTGATCTGTGTTGTGCAGCATCAAACACAATGTGCCATTGTTTGGTAAGGCATATAGGAATAACAACTTTGGAAATAGACCTAAATGAATTTATCTGAATATGACTCATTTCATTTTCAGAATGCACCATTTTGTTCATATTGGATTTTAGGTGTTTATGCCTGTCAAAATTTGGATTGTGGTGGTTCTGTGGGTTGTGACAGTGTAGTCTGAGAGATAGTTACCAACATTTCAGAGGAATTTGCTACATCCTTCTTCTACCATAAAGATGGAAGTAGCATTTCCCTTTCAAATGTTGATATCCATATACGACCAGACTAAATATTGCCCTAACCCTGAAGACCACAGTCCACAGCAATTATTCACTAATGGTACACTAGGCTTCAGTCAAAGCTGTGAACAAGAGATATCCATGTTGTGAACTCAAGCACTTGAACATTTAATAATCTAACAAAACAATAATTGTTTTACTTTTATTCCAGCAGGTTCCAGATGAATCAAGTCTACATAATTTAGAATCAAAACTGAAGGAAGACAATATATTACATAAAATGTGGACAGAACAGCCAGAGAATTTTCCCACATGTATAGTAGTGAAACCTTACCCAAAAGAAGTGGTACAAAAATACTTCAGGAAATTGAAGCTGTTCAAAGGATAATTCACACATGTAGTTAACATTCATTCTTCCAGTATGCAGTTACACAGGTATCCACCACATGATATTTCAGTCAGCAGTATTTGTTCCAGTGGTTACAGTGATGTATACATCACATACAAGCACTAACATCAAATCAAATAATTTTATTATAATACTGCCTCATAAAATTGATTTATTCATAAGATTTGAAACTGTCGTGGCTGGTAAAAGTTGTCACCTTAATGGTCATGTCAATTAAGGACATAAATCCAGAATTTGGAGACCTGTTGCCTCATTTTGTCAGGGAGTAATGATCTGCTGTCCAAGATGTTCAGCTTCGGTTCTAAATTGACAGGGCTGGTAGTCTGAGGAGACTTTGTGACTGATCCATACATGGTTTAAGGACAAAAAATATACACTGCTTTTTATGTTATGGATGTCTTGATCAAACATGAGTATCACCGAGCTTTTCATAGCTTGTGTAGTATGTATTGAAAGAGAATAACTTTTGAGATTTGTTACATGTTCTTCCATTTGAAGCATATAACATACATTTCTGTTGTAAGTCAGGTAACACATAATTTGGATGAGTGAAAAAGTGTCACCTCTTCATGGGCCCTCACAGTCTGTGCCCATGCAGCATCATTGACCCATAGGCAGAGATGGAAATGGCTCTTCAGAATTGGGTAGATGCTCCAGATCACTCACAGAGTCCAAGGAATGACTAAAATATGTTATACAGAATGTTATTACAGTGTATATCTCCTGTTTCCAGCCCTACCCATAGGATAAAAATTTCTTCACCATTGTTGGTCCTCAACAAGTCTGTACTTAAAATTTCTGTTATATGGCAGCAGAAGTTTACCATTTTAAATTTTATTAACAGCTGTATTATAACTGTGGAAGCACAGCTGTGAATAGACAACTGAGCATACAGTGTGTAGTCTCTGTTTGCGTGTAACCAGAAAGTTGTCCTGAATTTTGTTTGGTATCTCACAAGAGATGAATGAATGTACATAAATAATAAAAATATTACAGAACTTGTGTCCAGATGTTTAAATTAATGCAAAACATAATGCCACTTTTGACCCACTGTGAATTTCTGTTCCATAAATTCAACATATTTTTTTTCCTGGTTGAAATATACATATCACCAAAAATCGCCTTTCCTAATTACATTGACTCCTGATTAATATTACACAACTTTTTGAGGTATCTGTGAAGCTTTAAAGCATTTGTATATGAAACTGGTGTGTCCACTATACCGTTTAAGAGGTATGCCAAGTCACCTATGACAAACATCTGCATAAAAGATTAAAGCATTTTCAGTTTTCAGCACCATACTGTATACCTTTTACCTCCTCAGTTACATGATTACAACATGTTATCCACCCAGTTTCCTCAGCTTATATTCAGGAAACCTCAAAATACAATAATGTGGAATCAGTTTATTCTTTCAATCCTTTGACATGATAAGAATATATGTAAATTGTTTTCTCCCTTGAACCTCAGGTTGGTTTATACTGCATTATTGTAACACATTTTTTCTGTAATATCTTGGGGCCATTTGGTTGAAGCGCTATGCTACAAGCCGGAAGGTCGTGGGTTCGATTCCCGAAGAGGTCATTGAATTTTTTCAGTTTACCTAACCCAGCCGAAGTATGGCCTTGCGGTCGACTCAGCCACTAACAGAAATGAGTACCAGGAATCTTCTGGGGGAGTAAAGGGCGGCCGGCGCGTAAGGCTGACAACCTTACCGCCATCCGTGAGCCGATTGTCTAGAAAATGTGAGCACTTCGACCTCCTACAACCCTGTGGGCCTTCACTGCCTGTTACAGGGATCGCTTTGCCTTTTTTACCTTTACCGTGGTCTTGCGGCCTCTTCAGTTTGAACAGGCTTTGCAGCTAGAAGGTGGATAGGAGTTACTACCGCCCTCGTCAGATGTTGGATAGACCTGATGGGTTATAACATCAAACAAAATTAATTTTATTGTTACGTTGCTTCCTTTATATAAAAAAAAGGTATGCTTGGACATTGTAGCAGGCGATTTGGAGGAAATATGTGACCCAGATCTAATGTGGCCACAGCTTAGGCTTGTTTTCCAACCAAAATAACCACAGTTTCCTGTTGGTGTAACCGGAAGTTTTATTTTCAGAATATTCAGTAATTGCCCTGTGGTTTCTATATCCCATGTTTCTTTCTAGGTAAATTTGTCGAATTGAATAATTATCGCCACGCCATTCTTTCCGAATTGGTCATAAGAATCTTGTTACCACGCCTCACTCCATGAGAGAGCGTTTTCTTCGACATCAGCAACGTAGTGGGTACTCATCGTTCATTGTACAAGGAGATCCTGTTTTGAGTCATACATTACCGTCGCAAGCAGGTGGACTGTTAACGCGCGTTCAGAATCATGGGAAAAGCAATCGTTATAATGATACTGCTGCTATTTGCGATTTCTTCGATCGTCGCCCAGCAAAACGGTAAACCGGGAGCATGCCCACCACCTGTGGCCATTGGGATCTGCGATATGAAATGCTTTTCTGACAGTCAGTGTGAGGGCAACAATAAGTGTTGTCGTACCGGCTGTGGAGGCACCTTCTGTACGTTTCCTGTTTCCGTGAGAACAAATAACCGCGGTAAGTAAGTAGCCTGTTCTTGTAAATCCAAAAATTTCTGTATCTAATGTTTTAAAATTTGTTAACGTGTTAACATGACACGCATCTCCAAGTGGTAAATAGCAGGAGTGAGTGGAATAGGGTTATCCAGAATTTGATTTGTGGGACTCTTGAAAAATAAATTTGAATAAAATTTGCCATAGCCGTAGCATAAAAATGTAAAGTTTGACTGTACTGTGAAGACGTGTGTTTATGGAGAAGTGGCTTCGTGAAATCATTTCGGCACTAGGTTGACGTGAAATGTTAGATTCATGCTCCTGCTACTTTACCCCCAAGTAAAGAGCCCACAGTACCTGTTGGTTAGAAAGCTGGCAAGGCCTCATGGCCCGTCTGTACGTGATGTTGGTAAGGAGAAAAGTCTACCACTGTCAATAATCCAAACATTCTATCTCTGTATGCTCTACAGCCCTCTGTTGGACCCTGGCTAATTTTTCGGTTTCTTAATCCTATGCACAGTCCGTAGGACTCCTTAAACGGAAGGGGGGTGGGTGAAGCAGCCCGTCGCAAGGCCGCTACCAACAGAATAAACGCACACAAATATCCATACCTTGAGTGGGTTTCGAGCCCACGGTGTTGGAGCGGGCGAAGACTGTTCATAGCTTAGACCGCGCGGCCACCGTGATCGGCACTCCAAGCATTATAGTATGCAAATTTACAAATCTTTATTGTTTACATAAGTATTGGTGTCTTCGTCATCGAAAGAAGAAGAAAATTTACTTTGTCCATTTTTCTCCACATTTCAAGGCGACAGTAGTGTGAACCCCTATTTCTTTGTGATACGCACAGCTCTCCCCAAAACACTTCCTTGTAGTCTATGTTTTTATTGCTAGTGGGGTGGCACTAAGTCCCTTGTACTACGGCCACTTCTGGCCTATTGTACCAGCCCCAGATAATCGTTGAGGGTGATTGTGGAGCAATTGGTGGAATAAAGATTGGCAGGGGAAACCAAAGTACTCGGAGAAAACCCGTCCCAGCGCCACTTTGTCCACCACAAATCCCACTTGACCAGACCCGGGATCGAACCCGGGCCGCCGCGGTGGAAAGCCAGTGACTAACCGCTTGAGCTATGGAGCGGCCTGTAGTCCAACTATCTAAATAACTCCGTGTAGCAGAGACCCTTTCCCTTCCTTTGTGGAACCCAAATATTCGTTAATATATTCGTAAAAAAAAAAGACCAAATCTTATGCCCCGTGTAACATTTCATAATATTCCAGCCTTATTAGCCCGTACATAACCCCCAACATGGAGGACTCGCCCTATGGGCTATCCTTTGCTGTCCAGTATCTCATCGCGTCATGAACACATATACAAGATATGCGAGTATAGTCTATAGCGGTCTATAGGCTCTCATCACACATCATTTAGTGATACATCATTATTATTTTCTTATTAGAGGCAACTGTCGTTAATTTAGAGACCCTCATTCTATAAACTGGTTTCAAAATGTTAGCCTATTTACTGTCGTTCGCTACTTTATTCACTCTACCTGTATACGTGTACATACAAATATAAATGGATTCAGGCTTCGGTAATTCCTAAAATCCTATTCTTGATGACAGTATAATTTGTAATTTTACGTCGTATTCACCCGGCGTCGCTGCACAAGTGTTAGCATTTCTATTTGTATTCGCCGTTCTCTCGGTTCAAATCTCAGTTGGGAGACTGAGCCATGTTCATCCTTTTCTTTATTGCCTCCGTTAGAATGCTGACTTCTACAACTTTTTGTAATGTACTTCCAAAATTACCATCCAGAATCATTCTTTAATTTCTCATTTGACGCTACCTAACCCAAGCAGTTAATATGACATATTTTAATAAACCAAGAATCTACCTAATTATTTTTTTTTAGTTCGCTTAATGGGGGGTGGAGTCCAATTGAGTCCACTCGGCACGTCGGCCACTGATTGGCCTATTGTAGCCTGCCCAGGGTGATTATGATGATGGAAAATTTGGTGGAATGAAGATTGGCAGGGGAAACTCGGAGAAAACCCGCCCCAACGTCACCTTTTCCACCATAAATCCCACTTGACCAGACCCAGTGGCGTGGGACTAAGTCCCTTGTACTGCGGCCACTTCTGGCCTATTGTACCAACCCCAGATGATAGGTGAGGGTGATTGTGGAGCAATTGGTGGAATGAGATTGGCAGGGGAAACCGAGGTACTTGAAGAAAACCCGCCCCAGAGCCACTTCGTCCACCACAAATCCCACTTGATTAGACCCCGGGATCGAACCCGGGCCGCCGCGGTGGAAAGCCAGGAACTAACCGCTTGAGCTATCGCGGCCCAAGAACCTACCTATCTTTCACAACTCATCGGTAATAATTATCACGTCGGTTCTCGTTCGGCTTTCTATAATCAATTAAATCGACAAAACGTCGCTAAATGTACCAAGCAGAAGAACTTCATGACCGAGATTTCGATTCCACATAAATGTGACGACACGCCTGTCATGCTGCATTTAAGTGCAAGGTAAATTCCATTTGTTTTTCCAGCGGTGTCGCAGTGGATTTTCTGATTACATAGTTACTCGTACTTTTAATACAATGCGTTACCGAGGTTTTTGCATGGAGACCTTTATTTATTAGCTTACTTTCCTTATTAAAAAAATGAAAGTAGGATTATGCGATCTCCATGCTGCCTGTATGTGCATCCCCCCAATTGACTTTTGAATGCCTAAACCAGTCTTTATGAAATTTGGTATATATATCATAGCACCTGAACTCATCTCAACGGCGTACTTCATAAACCTCTCGATTCACTCTATGCCTATATGTCCATCCTCTATCGTTGCTAGTCTACTGCTAGGTAAAAATTCCTATATCGTTGCTAGGCAACGGCTCTGTAAAAACGTTACCACTGCAACGAATATTGTACATGCAATAATGAAAATGTCGGACGCGTCATTTTCTATGCAGTCCGTATCGTGTCAAGGAAAGTAGGCGACTAGTTCTTCCCAGAACGTATTGTTTTAATATAGAACGGGTTCTTAACATCCTAGTGCTTTAGGACATAAATTGTCGTTAAGATGGACGTGACATCAATCTGAGAGGCCTTGCAATACTAAGTGATTGAAATCTACCTCACTCTTTTCAAGAACAGCATATTTATTTATTTATAGTTTATTTGTTTGCTGTATCAGTAGCTCAGGTTATATAGCGTCGAATTGTAGGTTGTCTAATGAATAATTAATGAACAAAGGATGTGCAAGGAAAAAGTAGTGACGTAATTTGAGGCATTTTTTTTTCTCCTTGGCACTACAGCCCCAGTGGGCCTAGGCCTACCTCCATGAACTTCTCCGTTCACTTCGGTTTATCTAGATCTTTACACATTCGGTAGGACTCCTTGGGCGGGTGATCAGCTCGTCGCAAGGCCTCTACCTGTAAACAAACAGAAAAACGCACACACACAAACTAAACATCCATGCCCTGGGTGGGATTCGAACCCACGAGCCCGGTTTCCAAGCGAGCGAAGACAGTACATGCCTTAGACCGCTCGGCTACCGTGACCGGCTAATTTGAGGCATTATCCTAGCAATATCTTCGAGGGATCGATGAAACAACGAAAATTCTTAGTGTGGATAGTCGATCTCCGGGCCCACATTTGAACGCCGGACCTCCAGAATACGTAGCAGGAGTACCAACCTTTCTGTCACGACGTTCAGTCACGTCTGTGTAAACCGGACTGAAGGCCGCGCCATAGCTCAAGCGGTTAGTCGCTAGCTTCTCACCGCGGCGGCCCGGGTTCGATCCTGGGTCTGGTCAAGTGGGATTTATGGTGGAAAAGGTGACGTTGGGGCGGGTTTTCTCCGAGTTTCCCCTGCCAATCTTCGTTCCACCAAATTCTCCATCGTCATAATCACCCGGGGCAGGCTACAATAGGCCAATCAGTGGCCGCCGTGCCAAGTAGACCCAATTGGACTCCACCCCCCACTAAGCGAATTAAAATTGAAAACAACCGGACTGAAGTCAAGTCTTTAGCTGTGTTGGAAAGTGGACTGGACACATGGTTTTCTTAAATCTGGTTCATCATGTGCCTGCAGGTTTCGCGTGAAGGTTAATTATAGGCCCGGAAGCTTGGTGTTCTCAGTTACGGAGAAATGGAAAAGCTGTCAGACTTAATACGTGTTACATAATTATTAGCACTGAAGGTCACAACAAGGTAAAAAACATAAAGTTACTGGGCGCTATGTTACGAAATCATAAGTAAGCCTGCCCTGAACAAAACACACGGAAGTAGTTCGTTAAAGAGAGCTCACAGTACTAGAAGAAGAAACTCATCATCATCTTGTCGTCCCTACTGTTATTAGTTATCCGTGATAAGTGTAATATTAATAAGACACTGACATTGCGGCATTTAGGAGCAATTTAAGAACATTTAATGACATCATCTGAAACACTGAATGTGTTGTATCATTATTCTCCATGACGTATGATTTTACTGCCATGTCTGTTATATGGATATAATGCTCATTTCGTGACAACAGATTTCAATAAAATACTAAAACAATTAGTTCAGCACTGAATAGCAAGTTGGAACTCCTACAAAAAACACAGCTGCAGGGAGTGGCGACCTTGCTTCACGCGGCTCCAGGTCCTACTGCCCCAGTGGGTAGCACCTAGTAAAGTCTCCTTCCCACGGTTACGTGGCCAGTAGATAGGACTCTTCTAGTCATGGTAGGCAACCTGTCTAAGGGAAGAAAACTTTGAATAACAATCCAGGTCCCCCAAGACAAGGGGGGTTTGCAACAACCTGGTAACTTGCTCAGGTAAAAAAAGAGTTAAAACCTAACCTTCACAGATGTTTCATGTTTGATGATGGGACAGGCTAACAAGCTCAACCCTTGCAGATGATGATAATGAAGAATTAGTTCAATATGCATGAGGTATTATCATAATTAAATTCCATAATTAGCGTTGTAAACATGCCGTTCTGCAAATATTTAATAACAAAACATTAAAGTT